CATCCGATGTATCACCCAGGCGCCACAGAAGGGCCTTCGGTTGGTCCCACGGACTAAGCTTCTTCGCTTCGGATCAAGTGGCACAGGTCGTTTTGCGGCTTTGCGTCTAAGACATGGTTTCCAACAACAAATCGACATACTGTTCGAAATTTGCTATAGATCCAAGCCATTCGCAGCCACTTCGTCTTGAATTGAGCATTGCTCAAAACCTATCGAGAAGTTGCTCTAATGGGCTCTTCTTTCGCAAGTTCCGTTTGCAACACTTTCGCGGCTTGCGTTTTGGCTTTTGCGCACTGAAGTCTGTGCAACAACACTTTCACACGCTTTTGTGGACGAAACTGATTTCGCAAGACTTTTGCAAGCTTTCCGGAGCTTTCCAAGCTTTCGCCAAGGTTCGCACAATCTTTTGCGAAGCTTGCGCGACTGCATGCTTTGCTTTCGCGAAGGCATAATTAATGCATTAACCTCTCTTGAAATTGTTACTTGGGAAGCTTACGCGGTTTCGTTCATAGATCTGTTGTCATTAAACCATCATTAGGCCCTTCCCTGCCACCTGTGCTTGGGAATGCGGTGACTATGGGTAGGATGAGACAGTCTTTGGAATATTTTGGAAGAGCTTACTGGCCACCTCAACAAATGTTTGATGGTATGGTACACGTGCTGTGTCAAAGGACTGATATCATTTGTATGGTGTGTAGCTCATGCATCCTTTCCATTAAGCCATGTGAAATATCTATAAAGGACGCTACTAGGGGCTCCTGGCCTTACTAATTACTAGGAACAAGAAGCTACTAGGAGCAAAGGGCATCGCTACTAGGAGCAATGACGAAAACAATCTGCAATTTGTTGCGTCCTTGCTATCGGCGATGCCCTGAGCCCCTAGTAGCTTCTTGTTCCTAATAAGGCCAGGAGCCCCTAGCAGGTTAAGACACCACCTGAACATCTGAAGCTGACTGGATACTCGTCACTCCACCCATCGGTGACTGGCCTCCTCTTGAAGCTCTCCATTCTTTCGGCTCAGCTCGGTGACTTGTCGCTGCAAACGATCCACCGTTCGTTGCCACCTGGTGGTTTTTGTGAGCATCATGTGGAAGTCGGTGCTTAACATCAGGTACTGCAAAACAAAAGGTGTTTCGGCACGTTTCAACTATTCCTATTCACCACAATACGACTCCGTTACAAGTTAGAATTGCACCACTCGCCAAGAAACATAGGTGAATATCTTGCGCATCATCTCTTGTAAAGACATGCATTGTGAACCTTGTCCCTCAAGCTTGAAACATTGGGATCTACGGGACACGTTTCATTCTAAATATACAGTCCAATGCAGGTAGGAAGTGTTTAACCTTGCGTCAATGATGGTGCACAACCTTTCTTAGCAAAAGAACATCCGATGACAATCTGCAGCGACTCAACTGATATGTTTGGCCTTTCTCGAATTCCTTATCCAAATAATGTATTGGGCTAAACTACACTCAAAGGCTCAAAGGGCAGGTTAGGCACCTCAGCACCGACCTAATTGCGATGGCCTCCAACCTAATAGCGGTGGCCTCCAACCTATGGGCGATGGCCTCCAACCTAAGAGCAATGGCCTCCAACCTAATTGCGATGACCTCCAACTAATAGCACCCCTTACCAATTTGTAGGAACTTGTCTTGTGCTTGAACCAAGTTCCTCACCGCTTCTCTTTCTCTCGCATCTCCTCCTCTAGCCTCAGTAACGAGGATTTTTCGAAGCACAGGTTGTCAAACAGTAGCCATTCATGGACAACATCAGTCTATGGTGGCTTTGCCATGGACATGATCTGCATATAGGTTGACTGTACTACTACTACTACTACTACTACTACTACTACTACTACTACTAGCACTAGCTATTGAAGCTTCCTCGCGGCCTCACCCCTAAATAAAAGACAACACACATATATACATATATATATTATATTATATCAACATATACAAAATATCCAATACATATATATAATATTTATGAGTGGTGGTCAAAACTTATTGTGGCTTGTATATTCAACATCTTGTACTGATGTCCGAGACCTCTCTAAGGAGAACAACTGATCGATCGTATCTGTAGCGATGCCCTTTGCTCCTAATAGCGTTCTTGTTCCTAGTAGCGATGCCCTTTGTCTTGCTAGGCACAAAGGGCTTCCCGCCAACATGTTGTTTCATATCAACATGCATCCAACTCCTTAAGCGCAAGCGCAAGCGATTCTCGACACTTTGGAATGCCTCACGTTGGCAAGCACTAGCGGCCTCCATGGAATGCCCCGAAGCAAACAGCTTGGAAGCCGGAAGCGTTTCCCGGTTGCCGGTGCCGTGAGAGCGGAAACCGCGCAGGGACCATGCACAACTGCTCGCTCCAACAGGCTGGAGGCCATCGGGTTTTAGGTGGGAGGCCATTGCTATTTAGGTTCCTTTGGAAGTTCAAACTTCTTTTATTAAGCTAAGCCCAGGCTTCACAGTGCAAATCGCACGAGAACGGGATCACGCCACCACGTGTGAGAAAACATGCAGTAGTTTCTATTTCTACGACCTAAGGCATTGTCTGGCATTGTAGTGTTCTCTCCAGAACAAAACTTAACTCAACTCCGAGGAACGATTTCTTACAAAAGAAACTTTCAAGAACTTACATGTTTACAGACTGAAGTTGACTATCGGATATCAGGGTCTTCAAGGTTGCTAAACATGAACGTCCCTTTCGCATGGCCACTGTGGAATATCATTATGTCCCCGTGACCCTGCCAACGCTTCTAGGTTGGAGGCCATCGCTAGTATGTTGGAGGCCATCGCTCTTAGGTTGCAGGCCATCGGGATTAGGTTCCTTGCAAATGCAAAAGCAACATTGCTCATGAGGTTCCACGTCAAAAACGAGTCCAACACCTGTGTTTTGAACGCATTCACACGCATTCCCAAGTTGTGGATTGAACGGTCAGGTCTGCTTGTCCGCTCTGCTCGTTCCGGTTTGAACGAACAGACCGCCTCCAGGGTGCTGACTGCTTGCTGTGTTCGGTGAGGCGCTGTCGCTCCTCAGCCGCCTCCCGCTCCTCGCGGAGCTGCTGCCTCGAGGGACAGAAGGACTCGTTAACACCAAGACGCGGAAAGTCTCTAGTAACGTTCTTGTTACTACTAGTAAGGCACTTGTTACTAGTAGCGATGCACTTGTTCCTAGTAGCTTATTGTTCCTACGTAGATTTTTAGGAACACTGAACTAGCGATGCCCTTTGTTACTAGTAGCGAACCTTGCTCCTAGTAGGAAGGCCAGGAGCTACGTTCGTAGCGTTCTTGCTCCGTTCATAGCGATGCCCTTGTTACTACTAGCGATGGCCTCCAACCTAAGAGCGATGGCCTCCACACATTCAGAAAAGGTGCTACATGCGTACTATATGTGCTGCGTGGTCGAATAAACAAGCTCTTGTTCAAAACCAAAACTCTATTGTTTCCTTCATAGTAAAGGAAAAGGACATGAACAAATGCTAGAGATGGAAATGCGTAGTGACCTATACTGACGTACAGTGACGTTCTAAACAGTAGCATGGTGGAGTGAACCCAGGGGCTTCCAAAGCATCTCACTCGCCAGCAACTGCTATACATGGAGATGTATTTCCATTGTGCTGACATCTTGGAAAGCAAGAAAAAAAAGGAAGGAAAAAGTCGGAAAAAGTTAAAAGGAAAATTAAAAGAGAAATACAATAAAGAAAGAAATGCCGTGCAACCCAGGTACCGAGAAGGTGGAATCTTCAAGTCAGCTGCATACGAAGACAGTGACACTATGTGTAGTTTTTACTCATGGAAGCATTTGAAGACCGGGATCATCGTGTGGAAAGATGCCATGGACTTGTCATCTTTGCCAAATCCAAAGGTCTGATGGGTTTTGGATTCTTTTTTTGAGTGACCATGCTCTCTGTAGCATTTTTGTTCCTAGTAGTAAGGCCAGGAGCCCCTAGTAGCATCCTTGCTACTAGTAGCGATGCCCTTTGCTCCTAGTAGCTTCTTGCTCCTAGTAGTACGGCCAGGAGCCCCTAGTAGCGTCCTTGCTCCTAGTAGCGATGCCCTTTGCTTCTTGCTCCTAGTAGTAGGGCCAGGAGCCCCTAGTAGCGTCCTTGCTCCTAGTAGCGATGCCCTTTGCTCCTAGTAGCTTATTGTTTTCAGTGACCATGCACACCACAGCGAATCCTTTGCCGTGGAGAGTCTACAGGATGAACAGATCATGGAGCTCGCACGCACGGCGTGTTGGCACGCTTTGGCAGATGACAAAGGTGCCCATTGTCTAGCCATGAACTTTCTTGCAGCACTCCCTTGACATACACCGACACTATGAACGTAAGGCATGCTTGAGCACTTCATGATACTTCAGTACCCGACCCATCGCATTGTTTGTCCTTTTGTAAGCCAATTGGATGCGACATGTCGCATAGGTTTGCATTGATGCCTACTGGCTCGGTGATATTCGCATGAAGCTTGGGTTTTTGGCTGCTTCCTGCCTAATTGTGCAACAGTAATATGATATAATCTATAGTACAAATGCTTCATCAACATTGGCTTTGTATTCGTGAAGTCTGCTCACTCGTGTGCAGCTTTGCAAGTTGGCCAAGAAAGGGTTGCCTGAAAGACGCCCCGACGCAACATCGTGCAACTGTCGGCAGGTGCACACCAAACAGCGCTCATGATTTCCCGCTCTCATGATCATAGTTGCATTCGCGGGCGAGAACACCTTTGTACCGTGATTTCAGATCAGATTTGGGTTTCATGCGGCAGATTGGAATGCAATCGGCAGTGGCAAACTCCATCCAAACTGGAGGTTTTCACAATCTGGAACCCTGAACAAACATCTTGACTAAGCCGTTCTCTGCCGAGAGTGTTTCAACAAGGTTGGACTTTGCAGCCACTTTCCTGTGCAAAGTCCAACATCAAATGTAATTATTCCTATTCTTGTTCACTTTGGTGGGGTGTTGAAATATTGAGTTTGCATGCCTTCCAGTATTAGAACTATGATGAGACAGCGAGAAGGATAGGCCAAAACTGTGTAGGCAAGCCCTCTCGCCTCTGCCGATCTGCATTTTCCGCGAGGCGTCGCCTCTCCTGCCAGTTTGAGCCTCCGATGCTTTGAATGCCTCAAGCTACTAGCGATGGCCTCCAACCTACTATCCTCCTGCTTGAGCCTCCTGCTTGAGGAAAACGTGTTCAGCTTGTCCCCACTCCCTCGCCATCTTCCACTTGATCGCTGCATTCTCCCCCCAAGTCCTTGCGCATGGCGGCCCGCTCCACATCAAACTCGGCGTGTAAGGAGGTCCTTTCCGCTTCTACCTGAAGTTGAATGAGTTGAAACTCATGATCTTTAGGTGTCTTGTAAAGGCAAAGACCGAAGGTCTCACTAGTAGAACTCTCAGTTACATGACCCTGCAAAAATCAGCAAGTGGTTCTCGGCCTCTTTCCACAGCTTTTCTCTTTCCCGAGCTAGGTCTCGCTCCGCCTGCTTGGCATGTGCCTGGAGGTAGCGGCAGGTCGGCTTTAGGCTGGGCTCCGCATGTTTCCTTCTTGTATCCTTAGGAGTCCAAGGGAACAGCATAATGTTCCTAGTAGTACGGCCAGGAGCTACGTTCGTAGCGTCCTTGCTCCTAGTAGCGAGGCCAGGAGCCCCGATCGTAGCTTCGTGTTACTAGTAGTCCAAGGGAACGGCATAAATCCGGAGTTCCAGTCATTTACGGATAGCGTCCTTGTTACTACTAGTAAGGCACTTGTTACTAGTAGCGATGCACTTGTTCCCAAAGCTTCTTGTTACTACTAGTAAGGCACTTGTTACTAGAAGCGATGCACTTGTTACTAATAGCTTCTTGTTACTACTAGTAAGGCACTTGTTACTAGAAGCGATGCACTTGTTACTAGTAGCTTCTATAGCTAGTAGTAGCAAACTAGCCATTCAATCTTTCCCTAAGGCCAAGTTGTCCCAGGCTGTCCCATCTGACCTCTGGCCAGTCGAAGGACTACCTGACTAGTCAGCCTGCCGCTCACGCATGTGATGCTGTGCCTGAAGTTTCTTCAAGGTCTCATTCTCTTTCTCGTACTTCTTCAGTTCCGCATCCAAGGCCTCAACCCCAAACGGTCGGTCCCTTGGGTTCTTCATTTCAGGTTGGAGGCCATCGCCAGAAAGCAAGCAGGTAACTTCCAAAACATGACCGGCTAATGCCACGGTTCAACAACAACCGGCACACATGACGGCACTCGTGCTTTGAGACTTTGGGGTACTGGGTACCGCAACGTGTAAACATCACAACCAAGGCACTTGCAAACGCGCTTTCACCTCAGCCTGGGCCAGGACAAGTGCAGGCTGCAACGAGAACGACGGACACTTCAGGCCTTCAGGAGCATTCTTTGACATGCTCGATGAACATTTTTGAACTCTTCAGTAAAAGAAAAATGGTAAGGTTTTGTTGATCCAGCTCCAACTCGGATAGAACACAGCAATTTCAGCGCCCTACTGCAGTTGCTGGCGGGATGGTCAAATCAAATGATGGTGAACTTGTTGCTAACCCCAGCCTAAGAGGGCTTGCTAGAGTCTGTGTATCTGAATAGTCCAGTGGCTGAGCTCTTCGGTGTCCAAGCCTAAGAAACTTCTTGTCTAAGTAGCTGCTCCGACCTATCTAACCTTTCTTCTTTCTTAGCTAGTCACCTACTCAAGCTATCTTCTGAAGTCTCCTCATAGCAGGCCTTCTCCGCCTACCCCTCGGGTAGGCCTTGCCCTAAAGCCCTAGTTCTTGAAGTTGTTTAATTCCTAGGTAATTAGGGTGTTATTTTCTTGAAGGTCTTCTTTGAACGCTTGTTTCGGCTGGTTTGGCGCAACACGCATAACGAGAACAGTGAGACATGGAGTTTGCTACGGTGTGATGTGCGACTTGGCCAATCGCCGAGACCCGAGAAAAGGGAACCACGGACCTGTTGACCGATTGGCCACGTTTCCTTGCTCCTAGTAGCGATGCCCTTTGCTCCTAGTAGCATCCTTGTTACTACTAGTAAGGCACTTGTTACTAGAAGCGATGCACTTGTTCTTAGTAGCTTCTTGCTCCTAGTAGTAATGCCAGGAGCTACGTTCGTAGCGTCCTTGCTACTAGTAGTGATGCCCTTGTTACCAGTAGCAAGCGTTGATTTGGATCAATTCCACTGACAGTGACCTGCGTTGGCTCGGTTTAAACCAAGATCTGCTGGCAGTGTTCTCCGCGCGTGCAGCTACGTGGATGACGTCTCCTTTGCTGGCGTGCTTGTGAATGCTTCGTGCCAGACTGTGATGTGATTTGAGGCATTCTTCCCACAGCTTGAGTTTGCGCTGTCCAGTTCCGGTATGACCGGGAGTGCTTTGCAGTTCGGCCGCGGCCGAACCAGCAGCTGCTCGGAATCCGGAAGAGCCTTTAGCAGTGCCAGTTTGCAGGATCGAATCCATGACGCGACAGTCATTCTGCTTTCATGTCATACGTCTCACGTTTGGCGGGAAAAGATGATGTTTTACTATTTGGTCAAAACCAGGAAAAACACGGTCTAAAGAAAGACACGCATTATTGTTATCAAGGTCTTTTCTCTAAGCTAAAACCCTGTCCTGGACGACTCACACTACAAACTGAACGCTCTCTACTTCCCTCTCTGCATTTTTTCTAAGAAACTACTCAGAGCTTAAGAATCTATTGAGGGCTGAGGTTCTTCTATCTATGTGGTTCCAAGATGTTCAGGCGAAACTTAACATTCAAATCCTTTCGTCAATCCTTTCAGCTTGCCTTCTCATGTCTCTTGTGTGAATATCCAGCCTGGTCTACATTCGAAGGGCTAGGCTCGCTCTCCGAGACTCTCTGACCTCTCAAGCTGAAAAAACATGTTCCGGTGTCCTTGGCAGCTCTTTTTTGCTACTAGGAACAAGGGCATCGCTACTAGGAGCAAGGCCGCTACTAGGGGCTCCTGGCCTTACTACTAGGAACAAGAACGCTACGAACGTAACAAGAAGTGTTGTCATCTAAAGGTTTCTTTAGATGCAAACAAACCGAATCTATACTACTGAGCAAACTCTGGAGCTAAACCAAGGCAATCCGACTCAGGAAAAGCCTTTTTAGCTTCAGCACTTCGTGGGACCCGGAGGTGTATTGTTCGCAATAGCAACGGCCTCCAACCTATATTCCTCTTATTAGGACTGTTAGATACGGTTGGACAGTTCTTTGTCCTTTTAACTTAGTTCACATTCTACAAATTTCTTGTGAATCTTCAAAGGGTTCTGTGACACACATCAACGTCATCTCCGGGTGCAGCAAACATCTCTGCCTTCACGGCGAGTTGATGGAGCCGCGCTGCTCTTACCTTTCCGCAAGATCGAGCACAGTCTGAACAAACTTCAAGCTGGTGACTGAAAGATCCAGCTTTCAATCATCACATGTTTCCGATTCAATTGACTCAATTAACCAGCTTGCTGTAACTTTAGAAACCCGATTGGATTACACATGCTGCAAGGGATCACCATCTCACAATCTTGAACAACTTTGTTGACCACACTGGCAAAGAAGGTGCTAATTGTGATACACTTTGTGATACCAGCTTAGATGCATTGGCCTGATCATAATTGTTTGAACCCACGTAGCAGCCATCGTTGGATGGAAAGAACGGCACGGCCGCCAGCGCCTGCGCTGCCAGGCGCCCGACCGTAGAGGGTCTCGAAGGCATTGCTGCCTTCCCAGTGAGGACTTGGCCTCCCAAAGCGCAAGCGGAACACAAAACGACATGCTGAAGCGCTGAAGTGCAAAAACGGGGGTCAAAAAGTTAGTTACTCCATTTTGGAAGCCTTCCGAAAGCAATCCTGTAACTTCTTCTGCTCTTAGTCTTTCTCGTCGAAAGGAGCTCTTGGCAAAGCTCTGCCCCCCAAAAGGCTCGCTGGTCCTCAAAAGGCCATGGAGCCATGGGCCTTGCAGCTGGCGCAGTTGATGATACTGCTCTATGGAAGTACGACCTGGCGCCGACACAAACCCGAAGCAACAAGAACGCTACGAACGGAGCATTTCGGGCATCGCTACGAACGGAGCGATCGGACGCTACGAACGGGGCTCCTGGCCTTATTACCAGGAACAAGAACGTTACCAGTAGCTAGAAGCTATTAGGTTGGAGGCCATCGCTGCTAGGAACAAGAAGCTACTAGTAGCTTCTGGCATTACTACTAGTAACAAAATTCTACTATAGTCACTAGTAGATCTAGTAGTAGTTGATTTTGTCATTCGGCGACTCAAGGAAATCATCCGACATCGGCTTGCTTGCCTCACAATGTCAGAGGTTGGCGGCTCTCCTTCAAGGTCACTGAACTCCGCAGTATCCTCCTCCTGGTGCTCAGCTCAGCTCCACTTGTTAGATCCACCCGGGTGAACACCCTCCACTGACTCAAGCACTCGCTCCGAGCAAATCCTGCTCGATCTTCAAATCAAATTCGTGCTGTACTAAGCATGACAACATCTTCCACTCTACTTTCACTATGTTGTATTTTTGGGTCCTCCTCTGCATCCAGTTGTAAGTGGAGGTCATCCAAAGGGCTGCCTGGACATGTCACTCTCATCCTGATTCAACTACGCGTCATATGAATGTAGGCTAAAATGAAGAAACAAAGTGAAAACAGAACCACATAATGTTCAAACGCATTGGAGAAGCAACAAAGGATGAAACGACATGTTTTTCATTCTTCTGCTTTAAGGTTGACTGCCCTCCTGCACTGCCCCTAAGGAATGGACGGCGATGAACAAACGTGTCTGCGTTCTTTCTCCCTTTCTTGATGTTATTCTTTTCTCATGGTTCATTGTCATTCCCTTTCCTCCAAGTTTCTCCGCCTTTTCACGATGTGAGAACGAGTCTTCTAAGAGCATTCTAGCTACTAGTAGCAATCTTGCTCCTAGAAGTAAGGCCAGGAGCCGCTAGTAGCGTCCTTGCTCCTAGTAGCTTCTTCTAACAAATCTTTTTCATAGTTTTGGATAGAGATAATTTCTCTCCCCTTCATCCAGCCTACCCATATCTTCCGAAGGGATGCCTTATGTAATTACAATCAATTACCTCTCACCCCTTACCTAAAAGCGGGACTGTCCCATATGCTCGGTGAGAAGGCAAAGCCTTGCGATCACGCTGCATCCATGTACGAGCGATGGAAGCGTCACGAGCCCCTAATAGCCTCCTTGCTCCTAGTCGTAAGGCCAGGAGCTACTAGTAGCGATGCACTTGTTAGTAGCGATACCCTTGTTCGTTCAATATGAGTTTGGCGCAGCTGAAAACAAGAAGGTGCGCGTGGTTCAAGTCTTTCCCGCACTACGCTTGAACGCGGTAACTAGGGGGGGCATTGAGTCGGAGCTCAGAAAGCCGTTGTAGCATCTTGTAGCCGGGACATCCTGTGCAGGTTTCCCGCTCCAGCTGCAACAAAGGTGGAGTGTGCAAAATCCACCAACAACAATTTGAAGAAACAACCACGTTAGTTCAGGAAAACAGAACATCCGCATCTCGGCTGCGCTGAATGAGGTGCCCTGCGAAATGCATAGGGCGTCAATTGGCGCAAGAAACAGTCTTCACGAA